TTTATCTTATTCTATTTCTGGGTATGGAATACAAGGAGCATTATATTTGTTATCTAATCCTTAATTACTAAAGTTAAACAATGGAGTTGTTATTAACGTTATCGGGTTACAAAGCGGCTATTGTGTAATAGGCTGATTATGGCTACATAACTCGCGTCTATTAGAAAATGCTAACGTGAACAGATTTCTTCACAATTCAAGAAAAAAAGAAGAACGAGCCTTCAGAAATGGAAATTACGATTTACGATTTACATTACGCTTCTTGCCAACTCTTTCGACCAATATAAATTAAGACTGAATAAAAATGTTTCCAAATAAAAAGTCTTACCATCAATTTTCTCTGTTCTAGCATCACTCATTGGAATAACAACATTTATTGGAGCCCTATTCACACCAATTATAATAGACAGCATCGGCCGAAGACCAGCAGTGATTACCAGCTCAGTCCTCATGGTCAGCGGATGGATCACATTAAGCTTAGCCTCATCACTCCCTGTGTTATTGGTTGCAAAATTTTTACAAGGAATGTCCGTTGGTCTCGGATCCACGATGGGAGGACTTTTAATTGCAGAATATAGTAGTCCGAAATACAGAGGATCTTTTATGGCAACAATTCTTACTTCTCTACTATTAGGGAGTCTAATATCTCATTTATTTGGATTATTTTACAATTGGCATCAAATTTCGACAATACTAGGATTTTTCTCTTTGCCCGGATTAATTATTTCTTTATTCTCTCCGGAGTCCCCAGTTTTTTTGGCAACCAAAGGACGTTACGAACAATGCAGAAAAGTTTTTCGCTGGCTGAGAGGTCCAAACGAAGATGATGAACTCGAGAAAATGATTAAAACTGATTTGATCGTTAAAGAATCTAAAAAGAGCCGTCCTAAAAAGACTATGTCTAAAATAATACAGAAAAAATTAACGTACGTCATCTTAACATTCAAAAAGCGAGAATTTTATATTCCAGTATTTATTGTGATGCATCTCAGTGCTATACATCAGTTCTGCGGTGCTCTTGTCTACGATACATATGCTTTTGACATCCACAAGGCTTTATATGGTACCGATATCTACATGTTTAAAGTGATTGCATCTCTGGACATTCAAAGAATTTTATCAACAGTTGTAACAGTTTATCTAACCAGTAGAGTACGGAGGCGTCCATTATTATTCACATTAGTTGGGTTGAATATATTGGCGTATATCTTTGCGGCCGGATACATATACGCCAGGCGTCATAGTTTACTTCCCTTTGATCACATGGCTATAGGAGTATTTTTACATCATTTCCATTATTTCACCAACGGAGCTGGTTCTATGCCCTTGACGACTATAATCAGTAACGAGCTATTCCCAACAGCAGACAAAGGATTCTGTGGACTGATTTGTAGTATGGTATTCTCAATGTTCATGTTTGCAAACATCAAAAGTGCACCGTATTTATTCTCCCTCATAGATGTAGAAGGAACATTATGTGCCTATGCACTGTTACTGTTTTACTGTCAAGTTATGTTATATTACATGTTACCGGAAACTAAAGATAAAACCCTTCAAGAAATCGAAGATAAATTCAGAGGATTCTCTTTGGTTGATCGTGCGGAAGTTTTAAAAACAAAGGATGATGAGGATGTTTCGAACTGATGCCTGAACAAAATTGGACAAACAAACAAAACAAATTCGATTACTCTTAAAAGTTAGTTTTTTTTCCCCTACCAATTTGCTGGCAGCCTATGAGGCAATACCAGCTACGCCCGGACGGGTAGGTGAGCTCACGGACACAACCTGAGAGAATCTGCTAACACTAGCCCTAGTAAGAACAGTGCTTCGCAGAATTTACCACCGGATCGGAATCGCGACCCACTAAGATCCGGCGAGAAACTTAGTGGGCTGAGAGATAAGAGCTATTTACAGACATTTACAAAGTCAGGATATTCGGTCTCCTAGATCAGACTTTTCTCGAACAACACACCCGTGTGCTTGATATTGACAAGATATTTATGAAAGGTATATAATTAGAAATCGTAAAATAACTCCCACTATGAAGGAGTAACAGCACGTATTAGCCCTGGTTATTTATAAATTAGCTTAGGTAATGACTGGTGAGCCCTCTTGGGTAAATAACTCTTCATACTCAGCACGACTGGTATCGTGGGTTCACCGGGATCATCACATCACGGTTTTGGTTTTGCATGCACAGAACATATTAATTTTTAAAATCGGCTGCTTCATATTTTTAATTGCCTTCCATGTTTGGAATCGGTCCACCATTTTGCTGGCCTGAAGAGACCTCCAACGAACGCCTGTGGAAGCTCAAGATTCCAATGCGCCTCATTACTATTGGAGCGGGGAGGAGTTTCAAGTTCTTTGTACATATTGCCAGAAAAAGAGGTGACAATTTGGAGAAGCTACTGGTAACGGGCAAGGTATGCGGAAGAAGGCCCAGAAGCAGAAGTCCAATGCGTTGGTCAGACTAGATGAGCTCCACTCTCAACACTTCAGTCCACGCTGCTGCTATCCACACAGCCGAGGATGGGCAGGAATGGCGCCGGTTAATCCAGGAGAAAGTTGTTAAAAGAGGCCATGACACTCAGCATTGAGGATTATCGCGGCAAAGAGGAGGCCACACTCTCATATAAGAGAAAGCTCAAACGCTTTCTGTAACAAGCCCTAGAGTGGACCCCCCACAGGGCAAATTTTTTTTTTTTTTTTTTTTTTTTTTTATTGCCTTTGTAGGCAGACGGGCATACGGCCCACCTGATGGTGAGTGGTTACCGTCGCCCATGGACTTCAGCAATGCCAGGGGCAGAGCCAAGCCGCTGCCTACCGCTTAATACTCTCCATAAGCCTCGTTTGAAGAAGGACATGTCATAGCGCTCGGGAAACACCGTGGAGGGGNTGCTGCAGGACAGCAAGGAGCAGGGGGGGGGAATGCCTATGCCGTGAAAACGGCAATCGGCGGGGAAAAGGAAAGGAACCCGCTCGGGCTGTATAGTGCTACAGCAGGCAGAATCGCGAGCGGGGGTCTAGTCTTGAAAAAGACTGTTGTTTTGGGAAGGGTTAGGAAATCGCTAGCCTGTGAGTGCCACAGGAAGCCTGATCGTACCGATTGGTTTTGCCTTGAAAAAGGCAGTTGGTAAAGGGTGGGTTCGCGGTTACAAAACTTTAGCGCACAAAAATGGACTCCGAGACGCAAATCGCAAGCGACCAACGGATCGGCACGTCCGCACTACCGAATTGTAAGCACGATGTATTCACGGTCACTACACTGTCGAGCACAACTGTGAGTTCAGAGACGTAGCTCGCAAGCGGGCCACGGATCGGAAAGCACGTCCGCGCACGACCGAGTCGTGAGCGAGAATGATAAATATTAGCCTATCCATTAATTACATGTATTTTCTACATGTATACCAAGTTTCAAGTCAATCGGATGCACGGTTCAATAGTTATAACCGAACATACATAACCACTGTAGATTTATATATTAGTATAGAAGAATAGATATCGACTATAATGGCTTCTGTAACTTATAGAATAATTTAGTTTTAGAATTACATGTTTAATGAAAAACCAAATAGAGCTATTTCACTTTGACCCCAATCCTTTCTCAAGACCATCAGGTGGGCCGTACGCTCATCTGCCTAAAAAGGCAATAAAAAAATTTTTAAAAAAATAACCGCCTACACGTCGTCTTCATGGGTCTCTCTGCCGATCCTTAGACTGGCCTAGGAAGGAGACCAGAATTAGGACGAGACCCCTTTCTCGGTCCTCAGCTTGATGCGGAGAGAGAAAAGCTTTTTCACGCTGTCTTGCCGGTTTCTACAAGATGCACTTACAGTAGTCGACTACCGCCCAAGGAATGATTACTATATATCCTTATTAGAAATCTATATATAGGTATATACTTTTTATTTTTATATTATGGCGGTAGTCATCATACAACACGAGATATTTGACAAATGCATGAATCTCGCTTATGACATTTTCAATAAGCTTGCATATACACGAGTTCCGAACAACAACATTCGGTCGCTGGAAGATCCTCCCTTTGTCTTATACCTACAAATATATGAATTATAAATTTACTTTGAGAATTTAACAACGTGTTATTTTTCCCTTGGCTGCGTTTAGTTACTATCGCGGTGAATTTTAAATTTGAACATCCGTGCCTACCTTGTTTATTCAGTGAATTTGTTTCAAGGCTTTTCCACTGAACAGACGTGCGTCGTTCTCTGGTTTTGCCTGTGTGCTTTTACAAAGTGACTTTATTAGTCCCTCGTCATCTCTGTACAATGAACTTCCATCATCGAAGCGGTCACTAATTTAACATTCACCATAATTTAAATGTAATCTCAATAATAACAATAAAGTAATAATAAATTTAAGCTACTTTTCTCAGAACCGAATCGCAGAAAACCTGCCAGATAATAAATAATACAACCAAACGACTTTTCATTAAAAAGTCCCCGGTCACCGTCCTCGTCGAACCCGTCTCTTGTGACTAAGGGCTCGACAAGTGAATTAACCCATAGACACAGCTCACTGAGTTTCTCGCCAAATCTTCTCAGTGGGTCGCGTTTTCGATCCGGTGGTAGACTCTGCGAAGCACGGCTCTTGCTAGGGCCAGTGTTAGCAACACTCCGGTTTGAGCCCCGTGAGCTCACCTACACGTTAAGGGTGAAGCTGAAATAGCCTCTCAAGGCTATCAGCATAGGAAAAAAAAGCATAAAAAACCTAGAACCATTTTCAGACAACTAAGCTGTGCTAGATAGACATAAATACATCAAGAGCCTGCCAACAATCATTCATTTAAAACAAAAGCGATTTAATAAACAAACAATTTGTACTTTTCTTCAATAAACAAAAGGTTTTAACTCGCATAATTTACACAACTGTAATTCAAATGCAAATGTGGCGATAAATAGAAGATTTATTGATGTATGGTGTATTAAATTAAAATGTAAATTTAAACGCTTTGACAATTTTTTTACACAAACAGAATCTGTTTTAAAACTTATCATTCGTTCGGTGACTATGTGCTCAGTAACTCCGTTCACAAAACAAGTGAGTTCGAACTTTATTTTGCATTATATTTAAGAAAGAAAGAAAGAAATCATTTATTCGCCAAGCATAGTGAAAATGAGTTATTACATAAAGTTAAAAGCAGCGTGTATGCTTTGTCATTATTTGACATGCGAATTTTAGTGCAGTGCATAGTATATATAATTTACCATTCATTCATCCATAATTCAACTAATAATAAAAAATCCATTTATTTTCAATGACATCCCTAAGAAAATCATTTATGTGATAATAATTTTCACTAATAAGATTACCTTTTAGGTTTTTTTTTAAATTAAAATCATCTAAGTCTCTTAATTTCTTCGGTAGTTTATTAAATATCCTAACGCTCATACATAGTATACTATTATTCTTTAATGTAGTTTAGGTTTTTGGAAAACATAGCTTATCGTCGCGTCGATTTCTGTTTGCCACATTAGACATCTTAGTGAATCTATTGGGACAAGTTTTAACAAAAGATGCAACTTCGTATATATATATATAGACAAGGAAGGGTAAAAAGTTTATGCTTTGCAAAATATGGCTTGCAGCTGTCGGCTATTGCCAATCCAAACATAGACCTTAAACACCTTTTTTGTGCCTTAAAAACTTGATCTTTTTGCGTTGAGTTTCCCCAGAAAATTATTCCATATCTAAGACAGGATTCAACTACACCACGATATGCAGTTAGTAAGGCATCTGTGTTTAAAATGGAGGATAATTTAAAGAGTGCATAGGCCGAGGAGCTGACACGTTTACACAGTCCGTCTGTATGAGATTTCCAATCTAATTTGTTGTCAATTTTTACACCGAGGAAATCTACATTTTCTGTTTCATATATATGATTGTTATTATTATAAATGGTCAAATTTATATATTTATTTCTTTGATAAAATTGTACAACTGGATATTCTGATCCTTCCACTTTTACTTTTCCTTTACCTATTTTTTTATTTTTTTTTTGCATAGATGGGTGGACGAGCCCATAGCCCACCTGGTTGTTAAGTGGTTACTGAAGCCCATAGTCATCTACAACGAAAATGCGCCACCTACATTGTAAGTTCTAAGGTTTCAGTATAATTACAACGGCTGCCTCACCCTTCAAACCGAAAAGCATTACTGCCTCACGGCAGAAACAGGCAGGATGGTGGTACCTACCCGTGCGAACTCACAAGGGGTCCTACCACCACTAATTACACAAATTATAATTTTGCGGCTTTGATTTTTATTACACGATGCTATTCCTTCACCGTGGAGTGAACATTTGTCAGGTAGCTATTTCTTTTGAAAAATTGGTACCCGCCTGCGGGATTCGAACACCGTTGCATCGCTAGATACGAATGCACCGGACGTCTTATCGCTTAGGCCACGACGATTTCAAAATTCTTCTCATAACATACATATATGTACAGAATAAATACGCGACTTATAGTGTTGCTGTTGTAGTCCTAGGATACCCCGTTGATACATAAGGCACTCACAAGTTGTCTCCACTTCACCCTTATAATAATAGCAACAAAAAATATGAAAGTAGTTGAATCCGTGGTCTAACAAGATACGGTACCCCCATCTCACATAGCACTCTAATACTCATATAAAAAGATTCGAGTCTATTGGAGTCACAAGAAAGAGTAATTAGTATGTGGGATTTTTCTAAAAATAACGTATGTAACTAATGCATGGTCACCCAAGACCATTTTTTGTGCGTTCCAATCTCCTATCAACTTAAGTATTGCTGCACATAGAATTCTTTGTTGTGAAAATAGCCCCGGTAATCAACAAATTAAAGAGCGGACGCTTAGCGTGGTATGAACATGTGATGCGTAGAGAGAAGATGCATGTGACTAGGAGATGTATGGAAATGGTAGTGCAAGGTAGAGGGGGAAGAGGTCGACCGAAGAAGACATGGGTGGAGTGTGTGAATGACGATATGAGAGAGAGGAGTGAGTGTTGAGATGACGGCTGATAGAAGAGAATGGAAGAGAAAAATTAGCTCTGCCGACCCCACCTAATAGGATAAGATGGAGAAAAAGAAAAGAGTTCCTTTTTGGACGATGGACCGTAGCTCGCTGGCAATAAGGATAATGAGCCTCTCGATCCTTCGGTTGTTAGGAGTTAACATAGTGTGACACATGCAACCTTGGAGCACCCCGCAAGATTAGAAACCCCAACTCAGGACTCATTGCTGCGGAATATTGTGATCACGACTGAAGACAACATTAATAAAAGGCGAAGTCACGGCTTGGCCCCTATCCTCCGGGACAAACACAAAAATCGTGTTCTATGAACTCGTAAACCGACATTAACGAAATAATAACATTAACTAGGGTAACTACGTACGTGACTATATAATTCAAACATAAATTTTACGTTTGAACTAAATAATCAAAAAGCCTCAACTAATAAGAAATTCATTTTTTATTTTTTTTATTTCAGTGTTTCGCGATCGCAAGTGTAATCGTGAACATGATGTCGTATGGCATGTGTATCGGGTTTAACGCATCACTCTTCTCAGAACTGAAAAAGACCGGAGAGATACACCTGGACAGGGATTCTGAATCTTGGTTGGGTACGACATGTTTATATCTCTCTTATTGTCTGCGTCGCTGGCGCAGATGGCCAAGCATTCAGACCATTACCGACACCCTTAAACGCGACTGCCAGACGAATACTGTCGAACTCTACATTTCATCTTAAATTCCAATTTTATCATGGTCTAAAGAACACCCGGTATTCCAAGCCCGCAGGCAAGTACCAATTTTAATAATGAAATACGTACTTAACAAATAATCACGATTGACATCCACGGTGAAGAAAGGAATAAAATCGTGTAATAAAAATTAAGCCCGGTAAAATTATAATTTGCGTAATTACTGGTGGTAAGGCATCTTGTGACGCACGGGTTTAGCTACAACCACCCCGCCATTTTCTACTGCAAAACAGAAATTCGTTCCTATTTGAAGGGTGGAACAATCGCTACACTACACAATTAAGACTTAGACCTCATGTGTCAAAGTAATTTCAAGGCGGCATTCACGTAGTAATGTCTATGAACTATCAGAAGTTGTGGTGAGCTTGTTCATCCGCCAACGCATTAAAAATAAAGAAAGTAATTGATTAAATGAAATGAACTTTCTCTGTTTTAGCATCACTCATTGGAATAACAACGCTTATTGGAGCGCTACTCACATCATTTATCATAGACAGCATCGGCCGAAGACCAGCAGTTATTACCAGCTCGGTCCTCATGATCAGCGGGTGGATCTCATTTAGCTTAGCTTCATCACTTTCTATTTTATTGGTAGCGAAAATTTTTCAAGGAATGTCCTTAGGTCTTGGCACAACAATGGGAGGAGTTTTGATTGCAGAATACAGCAGTCCGAAATACAGAGGGTCTTTCACGGCCACAATCCAAACTGCTATGCTATCGGGGAGTCTAATTGCTCATTCGTTTGGATTGTTTTACAACTGGCATCAAATTTCAACAATACTAGTGTTTTTCGCTCTACTTGGATTGTTGATAGCTGTTTTTTCACCTGAATCCCCAAGTTTCTTGGCAACTAAAGGACGTTATGATGATTGCAGAAAAGTTTTTCGCTGGTTAAGAGGTCCAAATGAAGAAGATGAACTCGAAAATATGATTAACACTGATATGGTAGTTAAAGAAACTAAAAAGGGTCGTCCAAAAAAGACTATGTCTAAAATAATACAAAAAAAATTGACGTACGTTATCACATCATTCAAAAAGCGAGAATTTCACATTCCAGTATTTATAGTTATTCACCTAAATGCTGTAAATCAATTCTGTGGTTCTCTCATCCACGACATTTATGCATTTGACATCCACAAGGCTTTATATGGTACCGATATCTACATGTTTAAAGTGATTGCATCTCTGGACGTTCAAAGAATTTTATCAACAGTTCTAACGGTTTACTTAACGAGTAGAGTACGGAGGCGTCCATTATTATTCACATTAGTTGGATTGAATATATTGGCGTATATCTGTGCGGCCGGATACATATACGCCAGGCGTCATAGTCTACTTCCTTTTGATCACATGGCTATAGGAGTATTTTTACATCATTTCCATTATTTCACCAACGGAGCTGGCTCCATGTCCTTGCCAACTATAATTAGTTGCGAATTATTTCCAACGGCAGACAAAGGATTCTGTGGACTGATTTGTAGTATGGTATTCTCAATGTTCATGTTTGCAAATATCAAAAGTGCACCGTATTTATTCGCCCTTATGGGTGTAGAAGGAACATTTTGTGCTTACGCTCTCTTACTACTTTACTCTCAGGTAATGTTATTTTATATATTGCCAGAAACTAAAGATAAGACCCTCCAAGAAATCGAAGACAAAATTAGAGGATTTTCTTTGGCTGATCGTGTTGAAACTTTGAAAACAGAGGAAGATGAGCTTTTGAGTTGAGTTTGAGTTGATGATAAAATGATAAAGGGTCAAGATGATCAGCATATATCACTACAGGAACGATATGTTTCGGTTATATTCAAAGAAGATGATTAAAGTTATTAGCTGTTTGGGACGATAATCCCGGGTAATAGCGGCAACCACCTACTCATAAGGCAGTTGTTCTCAGAATTTTTTGTATTTACAACCAACTATTCCACATCAAGTTACGGCCCGTCATAGTTTATTAGATATATTATGGAACATAGAATGAAACAAGAAATTCTTTACTCCGGATACATGCAACATTTTTCATTCGTTCAAAATTTTCTATTTATTAAGCGGTCGAAAGAACGTGGCATATTATCTAGGACTCATGAGTAATAATAACAGTACTGCTACGTACGTAAGAATAACGCCATCTATCGTAGAATTGTAGAAACGAACATCAAAGGAGGGACTTCGGTTCCCTCTGTATTTTGTACCGTATGTTCCATGGGGAGTGCTCTGAGGAATTGTTCGAGATGATACCAGCATCTCGTTTTTACCATCGCACCGCCCGCCACCGGAGTAGAGTTCATCCATACTACCTGGAGCCACTGCGGTCATCCACAGTGCGTTTCCAGAGATCTTTTTTGCCACGTACCATCCGGCTATGGAATGAGCTCCCCTCCACGGTGTTTCCTGAGCGCTATGACATGTCCTTCTTCAAACGAGGCTTATGGAGAGTATTAAGCGGTAGGCAGCGGCTTGGCTCTGCCCCTGGCATTGCTGAAGTCCATGGGCGACGGTAACCACTCACCATCNAAAAAAAAAAAAAAAAAAAAAAAAAAAAAAAAAAAAAAAAAAAAAAAAAAAAAAAACTAGTAAAATCGAGAACGCTCGAGAAGTACAACACCATCTATTATCAAATAGCGAAAACACATGTCGAAACTACTCGACCTGTCAAGAACGGGCTCCATAATTCTAGGGATGTCGTATCGACTATAAAAGCATTGCAAAGATGACACGAAGGCAGTTAGTGCTCGGAACTACTCGAAGCGAAACAGCAAACGGATTACCTGAAGCGAAGCGGAAGAAGCGGATTAGGAATTATAAAGTGCTCTGTAAGTGTTGAAAGTGTTAAATAGATTTTTGATTTGTATTTCGGTGGGTATTTCATTTTTCCCGAACCCAAACGTGTAACAATACGTTCTATATCGTACACAACTTCTGTAATGTACTGTACGTTACAATGTATATATATGATATGACCATCTTCCGAAACACAGTTGATAAAATCATCATCATCATCATTTCAGCTTATTGCCGTCCACTGCTGAACATAGGCCTCTCCAATAGATTTCCAGTGCGACCGGTCCATTGCCATCTGCAACGAAGGTTGCTGACATAGCCCGTAGAATTAGTGAACTGAAGTGGCAATGGGCCGGCCACATAGCACGAAGAGAGGACCGTCGATGGGGCAGAAAGATCCTGGAGTGGCGACCACGTACTGGCAAGCGCAGTGTGGGACGGCCACCTACTAGATGGACCGACGACCTAGTAAAAAGCGCTGGGTCTCGTTGATAAAATAATCTATACTAATATTATAAAGCTGAAGAGTTTGTTTATTTGAACGCGCTAATCTCAGGAACTACTTGTCCGATTTAAAAAAATCTTTCAGTGTTAGATAGTGTTGACAATTACAGATTTTTCTGGATTTCTCCAAGATCCCATCATCAGATCTTGATGTAAACAGGACCGTTCGGAAAGTATATCCTTTCGAACAATAAAAAAGAATTATCAGAATCGGTTCAAGCATTCTCGAGAAATCGGTGAACATACATAGTTAAAAAATGATGGTCGAATTGATAACTTCCTCTTTTGAAGTCGGTTAAAAAGCGCGATTTTGGTACCTTAAATAACTCCTTAACATTCTATTATTCAAAAATATTTTCACTTTCTATGTAAATGAAGTGGGTGGTAAAATTTTGCGTTATGCCAAAGTAACTATTCCACGCGGACGAAGTCGCGGGCAAAAGTAAGTTATTAATAAAACAAATTTTATTTAGTTTTTTTTATTTGTAAAAATTTACACTTTTTCTTGTTTGGATAGGTGGACGTGCTCGCGTCCCACCTGGTGTTCAGTAGCTCCCAGAGCCCATAGATATCTACAACGTAATTTCCACCACCCACTTTGAGATATGAGCTCTAGGTCTCAGTTTTTACAATACAACGGCTGCCCGATCCTACAAACCGAATCGCATTACTATTTCACTGCAGAAATAGACACCTACTGTATGGCTGTAGGTACCTTACCTATCCGTGCAGACTCATTAGGTGTCCTACCATCAGTTATTATGCATTTTTTTGAGCGTTTGTTTTTTTTTTTCACATTCCTCGATGTATTTTTAGGTCTCATAAATAATACAGATTTCACTCAATGAAAATATACTTTATTTCTTTTTTTTTTGAGCCCAGTTTTATTTGTCCCACTTACACAAAGTCAAAATGAACAGGAACAATAGATACCATTGTTTCAGCTATGGTTTGTATTTCAATGCTCTCTCAGGCCAATCCACTAATCTATATAATATATAAAAATGAATTGCCGTTCGTTAGTCTCGCTAAAACAAGAGAACGGCTGAACCGATTTGGCTAATTTTGGTCTTCAATTATTTGTCGAAGTCCAGAGAAGGTTTAAAAGGTGAATAAATATGAAAATTCTCCGAATCAAATAAAGTTTAGGTCTTTTATTATCGATTGAGGCCTTCGATCGTCAGTTACTATTGTTGATCGAAGATTGAGGCACTACGAAGTCTGCCGGGTCAGCTAGTTTTCAATAAGAACCAAAACGTTAACGTTAAACGTTAAAGGTTGTTGCATGAATGGGAAGTTAAGGAAGGAAGCGGAAAATATAAATACATAGAACAAAATGTACACAAGTACTAGCGCCACTCTCCTCTCATATTTTAAAATACTAGCGGCCCGCCCCGGCTTCGCTTGGGAAGTAGCGCACGCGATGTAAAGAATTTTAGTTAATTTTTTTACACATTAGGTTACATTATTGGAGTTTCAGTAAGGATCCCTAATTTTTTTGAAAATATAATAAATATAGCCTATGTCACCCGGGGATAGCGTAGCTTTCCAAGTGAAAGATTTTTTTAAATCGGTTCAGTAGTATCGGAGCCTATTCAATACAAACAAACAAACAAATCTTTCCTCTTTATAATATTATATATAAGTATAAGTATAGATAACAACGCAACAGATTTTAATATTGCATTTACATAAATAGCTGACTTGGCTATTGCTATTGGCGTTTTCTCTTCCTCGCTATAACGCAGAAGTAGAAAGACTCTTCAGGGTCATAAATGCAGTTAAAAACTGTGGGCAGGTCATAGCCCACTGAGTTTCTCGTCGGATCTTCTCACGCGTCGCGTTTCCGATCCGATAGTAAATTCTGCGAAATACTGCCCTTGCTAGGATTAGTGTCAGCAACGACGTCAGGTTTGAGCTCATTTACTAGTTAAGGTTACACTGAAATGGTCTCTCAAGACCATCGGCTTAGGTAGGAAAAAAAATTTAGGATAGAACAGGTTCGACCGACTTGTTTGGCACAGCCTGAGAGAGTAAGAGGCTAGTGGTGCGACATAAAAAGCAAGTAATTCATGACACAATGCGAGCGTGCACAAAGCGGTCAACATCATCATCATCATCATCAGCCTTTATCTGCCCACAGCTGGACATAGGCCTTCCCCAATGCCTTCCACATAATGCGGTCCTGGGTACGACGTTAAACTTCCTCATCCTGGGTAGGTCGTTAAACTTCCTAGTTGCCAACCCGCACGCCCAGCGTGGTGACTTAAGGGCACAAACTTCCCAACGTCAACGTCAAATTATTATCTAGAAGATGATTGCGCAAAGTGGAAATGAGTTGCTCGCTCCGGGTATTTCAATATTGCAATAATTGTTACTTTATAATACATCTTGTAAAAAGGAATACTTAAAAAAATCTAATATTTAAAAAAAATGATTTGAAAGGTCGCGAGCGATCAAACGTTCAGACAGGGCACGTCTACAGACAACCAGCGTTGTGATGGGAAAATGTGTAGAACTAATCATTTTCGCGACGCTTGACAGATGAGTTGGCGTGACAGGCCTATTATTACGTCGTAACAAATTCTAAAATATAAAATAATTACAAAAAATTATTACTACACACAAACAAAACAAAACAACTAGTTGTTACAATGAATGAAAACCGCGCGCTTTAACTAGTGATAACCTCTTAATTACCATATAAGGTAATCGTTGGTACCGGAAATCAAATTCTTTCTGGAACATCCGATAAGAAACGCCCACAACGTAGGTGCCTAGAAATTTCGAAAACAAAATACAATAGCGAACAATGGATCAACTGCTAGAGAATTGATTCCATTTCGCTCGATTCGAATATTGCTATCTCAGTAGCACAGGTGTTTTCTGGAATATAGACAATAGTTTTGGGGCGTTTCTTGCTTCGGTTGGGCCGTTCTTTTCATATTTCTATCTCGTCTCATACGAAAGATCTAGAAGTCCGGTCAGTGCGCATCGCCGCCACAGGAAGTAGGCCGTTCCGATACAAACATATAAAAACGAATTCGCGCAGGAAGAAAGGAACGCGGCCCGCACCGACTTGAAACCCCTTCAGGTTATTCAATCCCGATTCTGCAGGATAGCCGTCGGAGCACTATGGTTCTTGAGGAACGTGGATCTCCACGATAACCTGGAGCTCGACTCTGTCAGTAAGTATTTACAGTTGGCATCGCTGCGCCACTTTGAGAAGGCGGCACGACATGAGAACCCTCTTGTCGTAGCCGCTGGAAACTACATACCCGATTCTGTAGACCGAATGGTAAACCGTCGACGTCGCTCAAAGCGCGTCATTACGGATCCTCCCGATCCATTAACGGTGCTTTTAGGCACCACAAGCACCGGTCACCGTCCTCGTCGAACCCGTCGCTTACGACGAAGGGCTCGACGAGCGAATTAACCCATAGACACAGCCCACTGAGTTTCTCGCCGGATCTTCTCAGTGGGTCGTGTTTCCGATCCGGTGGTAGATTCTGTGAAGCACTGCTCTTGCTAGGGTCAGTGTTGGCAACACTCCGGTTTGAGCCCCGTGAGCTCACCTACATGTTAGGGTGAAACTGAAATAGCCTCTCAAGGCTCTCAGCATAGGTAGGAAAAATAAAAAAAAGGAAAGAAATTTTTCGACGCCAGACAATTCGCACGACGATTATAAGTGACCCATATTTATGATATTTGTTATCATTTTAAAAGTAGTACAAGCAGTCCTGCACAAAAATAAACAGGAAAATTAAAGCGAATTGCATTATTTTTCAACCCCCTTGGAAACTGGGGGTGCTCCGTACGGATAGAAAAGTACGGGCTGCACGTATAAGTACGGGTCGTTGACCATCACGCACCGGCTCTGAGTTCACCATCAGGCAGTGGAACCTTCCACACTGAAGACCCCTACGCGTCACGGATCGAACGGTCCCGAGTTAAGTACCCAGAGCACACAGGGTTTTTGACGTGACAACGTCTTAAATTCGATGGAACCGGCTGCACGCACGAAAAAACATGACTCATGCGGCGTTACCTTGCTCCGAGGCGATCCATTTAAGGCTTGAAGTGCAAGCGAGAGCGCGTAAGGAGCGACAAAGAGGCACAATCGGCCTCCGCGTTCGGCAGCGTTCGACATCTGTCTCTCTCCTAATTGAGTGAGCGATGCATCCGCGTGGGCAGCTGCTATACAATAATACAATTACATGTTATCGTCAAGTATGAAGCTCAGTGAAAAGTGAATGTTGTGTCAATTGTTTATAGCAACGATAATTGCGATAATTGAAAAATGAAACCATTCCATCAGTATTTTCTTATGACGTTGTCACGTTCAACTATCGTCAGTAAGCCGACTTTACAGACAACCTATTTTTAGACCAGAGAACTTCCCTGTGCCGCGAATCCACTCCCCACAAGTCGTCAATAGTGTATTTTTTTCTTAATTCAATTAATAAGTTGTTTTTTTTTATATTTTAATTATTATAATTTTTTTGTAATGCGTATATTGTAATGCGTAATTTTTGTAGTTTGATTTATTTTATACCTGCCGTCAGACGGACATAGCACTATGTCCAGCAGTGAATGTCCGTGGGCAGATAGTAGTGTGTAATAACATCTGTTGGTATATCAAGGAATCCCGGAAAAAAACCTAAATCTCGCTAGGGGCAATTTAAAGAAATTTCATTTTTACAAGTTGCCAAAAATAGCATTTAAGATGTGTAGCGGCTCCATGGAAGGGTCTCTCTTTTATACTAGCAATGGCGGCGTAATGCTTTGCATAAAAGCCCACTCATTTTATACAACTAGTTTAATGTTTGCAAGGATGATTTCGTCCCTGCCTATTCGCTGCTATCTTAAGGGGCTATTTCAGCTACACGCTGACGGGTAGGCGAGCTCATGGGCTCAACCTGAGAGAATTTGCCAACACTAGCCCTAGTAAGGGCCCTGCGCCGCAGAGTGTACGACCGGATCGAAGTGGCGACCTACTGAGAAGATCTGACGAACTCAGTGGGTTCTGTCTATGGGTTAGTTCGGCGAGGACGATGACCGGTGCTTGAAGAGCCTAGAAGGACCGAGACTGGATCTGCGAGATCCAACAAGCCGCGACGGCGGCTTTGCGTTGCCCCATTGCGACAGGCCCAGGCTCTTTTTTCTATTGCTTAGATGGGTGGACGAGCTCACAGCCCACCTGGTGTTAAGTGGTTACTGGAGCCCATAGACATCTACAACGTAAATGCGCCACCCACATTGAGATATAAGTTCTAAGGTCTTAAGTATAGTTACAACGGTTGCCCCACCCTTCAAACCGAAACGCATTACTGCTTCACGGCAGAAATAAGCAGGGCGGTGGTACCTACCCTCGCGGACTCACAAGAGGTCCTACCACCAGTAATTATGCAAATTATAATTTTTCGGGTTTGATTATTATTACACGATGTTATTCCTTCACCGTGGAAGTCAGTCGTGAAAATTTGTTAAGTAAATATTTCATTACAAAAATTGGTACCCGCCTGCGAGCTATGAACACCGGTGCATCGCTCAACACGAATGCACCGGACGTCTTACCCTTTAGGCCACGACGACTTCAATACATATCAGACCACACACATCAGATGGGTTTAATATGTAATTAGCGGCGGCCACGATAACAGGGTTATCGAGTCGCGCTACTTTTTCAAAGTAGTGTCCTTTAGATACTTACGAATCGGTTCTAAATTTAAATCATCGTGAACACTGACATTCCTCACGTACTATGGTGCTCCGACGGCTATCCTGCAAAACGGGATTGGATGACCTGGAGAAAGCTTATGTGCATGCGGACCGCGTGATCGAATACTACACTTGCATAGGTCATGACGGAACGTTTGCAAGTTTTGTCGAGTGTCCCTTGCTACGAAGAACAATTTAGTTCGCCTGCGAATTATCGCATAAAAGGATGATATTAAGTCTGCCGCTATGCAAAAAATAAAGCTCAATACCCGGTTTGATGAGCACGCTGTATAGAACAAATGCAAAATTACTTTACGTAATAATATGAAATGAACATTAAGTGGATGCATACAAGATTTACACAACTGTCTCAGAAGAATAACATAACTCGTATTACGCACGTCATGTAAAGCAAATTCATTTAGAGCAGACATCGCTCGACCAGGTTGTTAACTAGGTGTCAAATCAGTAATAGTCATCGTGCGAAAATGTGCCATATAAGACGATGGAAATCGCCGTTTTTAAAACAGGTACCTAACGCTTTTTTTTTAATGTCCTTGTATTCAGACGAGCATACGGCCCACCTCAATGCTTTGAAATATTATTTGAGATGATATCCTCATCTCGTTTTTACCATGGTACCGCCCACCTTCGGAGTAGAGTTCATCCATACTTCCTAGAGCCATTGCGTTCATCCACAGTGCGTTTCCAAAGATATTTTCGCCACTTTCGGCTTTTGAATGAGCTCCGTTAATGCGCACCCCTCATAAGAGATGAGGTTATTTTTATGTTTTTATTGCCCGTTACCGTCGCTCATGGACGTAAGCAATGCCAGGGGCAGAGCCAAGCCTCTGCCTACTACTTAATACTCTCCACAAGCTTCGTTTCATGAAGGACGTTTTTCTCGGTTATCAATATTGTTTAGACTTCGAACTTATCTCATGCCAAAACCAGGTGGGCAGTGAACCCAAAAAAACTCCAAGCTTGTACCTAATACAACATTCCCTTTTGTACCAGATGTAATATTTTCAAATCGAACCTAAATATCAATTTGTATCACTTTAATTTCCAGTGTTTTGTGGTCTCCAGTGTAACTATTAATATGATTTCGTATGGTTTCGCATTTGGATTTAACGCTTCTTTAATCACATCATTAAGGAAGACAAATGAGATCCCACTGAATAGAGACTCGGAGTCGTGGTTGGGTACGTAATCTTCCTTTTATTTTACAGTCAATATAGTTATAATTTATATTATAATTTTACAGCGTTCGTTTATTTGGTCAATCTATCGAATTGAAACAGCCACTCCCAGGTCATAAAACCTATGTCTAAATAGCTAATTTGCAAGTCCCCAAGAATAGGTACCACAATCTTGCCTATCTCTACTCCAAACCGATCAGGTATTCCAATTGGGAGGGTGAGACATACAATTGAAACTCAACCTCTTGGTTCAAGGTGGATGGCGACATTCACATAGGCAATGTCATTGGCTAGTATCCAATTAACACTAGGTAGACTCGTTTTACCCATCGAAGAAATAATACAAAAAGGGAAACTTAATTTACTTTTTGAAAAATCGGTGAAGTTTATTGTAGTGATCCTTAATACCGCAAAGCTAGTAGTTAGCAAAAAGGAAGTGGGGGAATCATACATGGGGGAATCTAATGTTATAGAAGTATCATCTACCAGCGGAACCTGGTGCATTGTTGTCGTAGTGAATAAAAGATAAGAGCTAACTATTAATAGGTGCTACAACTGCTTGCTTATCTTCAAAAATAAAAATACATTTGTAATACATACACATACATACTATAAATTTAATACATCACTAAACAACAACAAAAAAATTGGTCAGACTCAAAGATTATTCTGCTCAAAAAAAGTTATTACAGACTTTTATCATAGATTTTTATATTGCGTAAATTGCATAAATTCAAACCTATGACACTAATTTGATATAATTTAAACGTATAGAATAGCATACCATATTGTTATAACTATTTTTCAAAATGATTACTAATATAAGGCCTTCTTTTTTTTAGCATCAGTCCTCGGATTATTCATATTCATTGGATCTATTATCACCTGTATTATCATGAAATACATCGGTCGAAGATTTTCTTTCTTACTCAGCTCTATTATAATAATATGCTCATGGATTTTATTTACATTATCTTCATCTTTCCTTGAATTATTAATCGCAAAAATCCTACAAGGTATAACGGTTGGCTTGGGCAGCTTAGGATCCAATTTGATCGGGGAATATTCCAGTCCAAAATATAGAGCCTCTTTCATAGCAACTATACCGACTGGTTTGTTATTCGGTGAATTGCTGATTCATTGCCTTGGATTGATTTGCGAGTGGCGTGACGTGGCTTTAGTGATTGCCTTTCTCTCTTTACCGGGATTAATAGCAAGCGTATTTTCTCCTGAATCACCAAGCTTCCTGGTAACTAAAGGACGATACGATGAATGCAGGAAGGTGTTTCGCTGGTTGAGAGGAACGGACGAGGACACCGAACTCGAAGCTATGATTCAAACTGATAAAATTATTAAAGAAACAACAAAAAATGATCACAAACAAAGTTTAATAAAACTTTTTAAAGCTAAACTACTATACGTCTTGACTGTTTTCAGAAAACGTGAATTTCGTATTCCAATGATCATCATGATGCACTTGAATCTTATAAACCAATTCTGCGGTACTTTCGTTAACGACATGTACACCGTTGACATACACACGGCCATGTACGGCACCGATGCTTACATGTTTCAAACGGCTGCATCTTTGGATGTCCAAAGACTTGTGTCGACTATGCTAACGATATACGTGTCTTCTAAAGTACGAAGACGTCCACTCTTGTTAGCCTTGGTGGGATTAAATGTATTGGCGTATCTATTGATAGCCGGTTACATATACGGTAGACGAAACAAAATTCTCCCTTTCGACCATATGGCTATAGGCATTATATTGCATCATTTTCATTTCTTCAGCATCGGAACTGGCTCCTTTCCATTGGTATTCATAATTAGTGGTGAAATATACCCTCTAACTGATAAAGGGTATTGTGTGTTGTTTTGCAGTATCCTTTATTCGATATACATGTTTACGAATATCAAAACCGCACCATATCTATTCTCTCTAATAGGTATAGAGGGTGCATTTTGTGTTTATGCTATATTACTGTTTTATTGTCTTGCTGTGACATTATATCTATTACCGGAGACCAAAGATAAGACCCTTCAAGAGATCGAGAATGAATTTAGAGGTTATGCTATAAATCACGAAACTGTCAAATTGAATGCTTAGCTGTAGAGGATATACCGGTGTACTTTTCAAGTTATTATCAATAGCTTTCGGACTACTGAATTATATTAGATAGACTGATAGTATGACATTACCAATAGATAATAAAATATGAACGCTTTGATAAAAGACGAGAGTGTTGATAATAAATAATTAAAGACGTTACATCACCAAGAGAGAGACAAACGTGCGAAAAAAAGAGAGGGAGAGAGATAAGAGTTTTAGTCTGAATTAAAAATCTAATCAACTAGAGTTCTTGAAAATGCACCAAAAATAAACACAAATACCTTACTGCTTGAGCGGAGATAATCTACGTTTGAGGTTACAGATGGCTTATTGGAGATTCTTGAAGGTCAGTATTCAGGTCGATGATGGTGAAATGTCATCTTAAATGAAAGGTAGCTTAATACAAGCGACGAAAAGGGATCGACTGCAACGGTCGCGAGCTGTCGAAAATTCTACCTGTTATGACTGACTTGTCATGTTCTTTTTAAAGAATGAATTTCAGATTTGATTGATGCATCCACACTCAAAGCGCTGATGATCTGTCTTAGCTCAATCGCGATAGCACTGCCAGAATTACTTGAACTTGAAAAACACTTAACTTGTTTTTCTGATTAGGGTCAATGGTATAAATAATAGTTTAAAAAAACTAATAAAATACGCTTTTATAGAAAATCCAACTAAAAAATTGCAAATAAATTTTAATAAATTTGAATTAAAAATAGAATAAGAAAAAATGATTTTATTGTAAAAAAAGCGTGGGGTGCTTTTCAGGATATTATCAAAATAACCCTTCTACTCATATCTGTTCATAAAATATTTATAACTACTGATACCACGCACACCACGCTTTTTTTTTTGGAATTTCTATAAAAGCTTATTTTGTTAGTTTTTTTAAACTATGTATTATTTATTTTTTAGTTGAATTTCAATTTTTTTAATTTTTTTAATATTGAATTGTCATCGATCCTTAAAAAGTAAACCAAATTTCGAGTTAATCCGACGTTTTGAAGGGGATGGGTTTCAGTAACCACTTAACACCAGGTTGGCTGTGAGCTCGTCCAACCATATAAGCAAAAAAAAAAAGTATGATGATGATGAAAAACGCCTAACCAGAACTATCTCAAGATACTGTCGTCTTTCATTTCACTTTGAGAAGATTTCAAATCTCAATAGATATCTAATAGTCTAAATTAATCACATTATTTATAACCAAATAGATACATAGTGTTACTTTTTCGAAGCTAACCTAAATCTCTTTTTATTTATTGCTTAGATGGTTGGACGAGCTCACAGCCCACATGGTGTTAAGTGGTTACTGGAGCCCATATACATCTACAACGTTAATGCGCCACCCAACTTGAGATATAAGTTCTAAGTTCTCAGTATAGTTACAACGGGTACCCCACCCTTCAAACCGAGACGCATTACTGCTTCACGGTAGAAATAGGCAGAGTGAGGTACCTACCCGCGCGGACTCACAAGAGGTCCTACCACCAGTAAAAATCTCTTTAAGGCTTCATGATGGTTCTGTGAGTCGCTGGTATTTGTAATTTAGGCTATTCAACAGAGGAGCTGACCATTGAATAATTAAAACGTAAGACGTCTGCCGTGCACTCGGTGTAATCAGGACCCTGAAACCGCGATACTTTGAGACAAATATTTTTCTGTATGGAAACTAGCGACATCTTGTAGCGGATGCCCGTAAACTTTATATGTTCTTAAAATTAAGGCATTTAATTATTTCATAACTAAATATAGAAAATATTAAATCATACAAGTCTTTATTTGTTATAGAAAAATTGATTAAATTTTATCAATTTGTGATTTCTGAAAATTTACAAAATCCTTCCATTATAAATAAAATGTAGGATAGGTAATATGTTACTGCTATCTACAGAAGCAATGAGAGACTAATCGAAGCGAAGCCATCTAGTGGCCGACGCCCATAAACATTTTTGTTGAGTGCTTGAGTTGCTTATCTATAACTAATTTATGTGTATTATAGATCTATCGGTGTAATTGTTGAAGTGAGTCTATACTACGTTATTCTTATATAACCTTAAAATCGAACATACTTCGTACTGTCAGCTTATAATCAAAAGGAAAAACTAATTAAAATATTAGAGATATTTTTTCTTGTTTTATTCATATATTAAAAATAAAGACACGAGAATAAAAATAAAGATTGTGTGAAAGACGATATGTGTAAGAGGGGAGTGAGCGAAGAAATGGTATATAATAGAGGAGTATGGAAGGAGAAAACATGTTGCACGAGCCCAGGTGACTAGGAGGACAGGAAAATGATGATGATTATGATCATTAAAAATAAAGACGGGAAATTAAAATTTTCTTTTTTATAACAGAGCGACAATGCCCTGGTATTTATTCCAAAATGATTGATCATCATCATTGTAGTGGCTCAGGCTTGGTGTAGTTGAAAAAGCATACATGGTTAACAATAAGTATCTGCTTAATTCCTTTTACGGTATTCAAGAGATCCGTCCTGTTATGCGGGGTCTCCCGATATGGTTTTTAAAAAAGAATTTTGAAAAAGAGATTTCCCTTTTATTAGTTCAATTACACAAACAATTCAATTATAGAAATTGGCTGAAAGGAGAGATTGTTCAAGACCGCTCCCGATGGGTGACTAAATACGACTGACTGACTCTCGGTCGGTAACTGTTGCCAAGAGATTTCTTACTATGCTTACTCAGCATCAGTGGTTATTAAAAAGGATGTAACATCACTTTAACTAACATGGGGAGTCTGTAACAGTTCGCTCCTGGGATTCGCACTCGAATTTGACGTGCAAACTAGCCCATAGACACAACGCCCTGAATTTCTCGCCGGAACTTCTCAGTGAGCCGCGATTCCGATCCAGTGGTAGATTCAGCGAAGCATTACTCTGTTGAGCTCCGTGAGCTCACCTACCAGGCCGTGTGTAGTTGGAAGACTAGACTGGGGCGGGGAAAAAACATGTTTGATCATTTTATCGGCATTATAATAGATTAGCGCATCATTTGTCAACTGAAGACATTATATTAATACCGCCCACGGAAACAAAATATGACCTCCTCGATGTAAAACTCATTAGGCGCTTTCAAAACAATAGCGCTTGGGGCTTTTACTGATGAGGTTAAGGCTTTGGCCTTCCTGATCAATATTTTCTATTGCTTATGTTGTAATATATGCTAATTTTATAATACTGATTTACATTAGTCTATGGTTACTTATTTAAATATGTCTGTCATTGTTCCTTCTTTCTCTTTCCGTGAATATAATTGTCTAAGAACACTACTGGTTTCCTTTTATTAAAAACCTCAACAGTTTATTGTAAGTATTACATAGCCAATTGCCGTCGATAATATATTATGTATGAATGTGTATATAGAATGTATATAATGTATATAAATTGATGAATTCATTGCACTGTTGAATTAAATGTACTGTATATTCTTCTAGTCTAGACATAAAGATTTTGTGTATAATGATGTCGCATCGTTTCTTTTGAAATATAAATATGGTAAGGAAATATGTCCCTCGCAGAATCTATACTAATATTATAAAGAGGAAAGATTTGTTTGTTTGTTTGTATTGAATAGGGTTCGAAACTACTGAACCGAATTGAAAAATTATTGCACTGTTTGGAAGCTACACTATTCCCGAGTGACATCTATACTAATATTATAAAGAGGAAAGATTTGTTTGTTTGTTTGTATTGAATAGGCTCCGAAACTACTGAACCGAATTGAAAAATAATTGCACTGTTTGGAAGCTACACTATTCCCGAGTGACATAGGCTATAATCTTTTTTGAATAAAATTAAGGATCCTTACTAAAGCTCCAATAATGTAACCCAAGGTGTAAAAAAATTACCTAAAATATTCATTACATCGCGTGTCCTGCGAAAACTATTGATGATAGAATAAAATAATGTACTACGACTTTGTAGAACACATTATTATTTACGAAAAATGTCGCGACAGCATATTATGTCTAACTATTATAGATATGCCGCAATAACTGTTCTTTTACTTTTAAAAATAAAACAATGACAAATATCGTTGAAATTTTTGTTAAAGACCCGATCGGAGCCGGAGCGGGCCGCTGGTATTCTATAAAAACAAAAAGCGCCTGACAAAAACAAATACGTCTAACTTAAGCCGCAACCTACAAACATTGCTGTGTTAATTATAAAGATAATCAGAATAAACTGAAAGCAAATGTTTTTTTTATCCTACCTGCTATTATAACTATTTGCTATTAGCCTAGGGTTGATCCAGCTACGCCCGGACGGGAAGGTGAGCTCTCCTTCTCAACCTGAAAGAATTAGCTAGCACCAGCCCGAAAAAGAGCAGTGCTTCGCAGAATCTAATAACGGATCGGAATTGCACTCCACTGAGAACATCTCTATTGAATTGTAATAATATTATAACTACTTTTACGATTTAATATCGCATTTTTTATTATCTATATATATAAAAATGAATTGCTGTTCGTTAGTCTCGTTAAAACTCGAGAACGGCTGGACCGGCTTGGCTAATTTTGGTCTTGAATTATTTGTGGAAGTCCAGAGAAGGTTTAAAAGGTAGATGAATATTAAAATGCTCGGAACTAAATAAAAATAACAATTTTGTTTCTCCGGAGGGATTCCTTTTGTTTGTTTTAAGTTTATTTTATAAAAAAGTTTAGGTCTTTTATTTATCGATTGAGGCACTACGAAGTCTGCGGGTCAGCTAGTCAATTACAATTATGTTTACGGTTTATTATTGTTTTTTTTTTATTATCATTATGCTACTTCGAGACTTCACGTTTTAATCTCAAAATGAAAATTTGTAGTCGTCGCGGCCTAAAGGATAAGACGTCCGGTACATTCGTATGTAGCGATGCACTGGTGTATGAATCCCGCAAGCGGGTACCAATTTTTCTAATGAAATACGTACTTAACAAATGTTCACGATTGACTTCCACGGTGAAGGAAGAGCATCGCGTAATAAAAATCAAACCCGCAAAATTATAATTTGCGTAATTACTGGTGGTAGGACCATCGTGGTAGGATCTCTTGTGCGTTCGCACGGGTAGGTGCCGTCCTGCCTATTTCTGTCGTGAAGCAGTAATGCGTTTCGGTTTGAAGGGTGGGGCAGCCGTTGTAACTATACTGAGATCTTAGAACTTATATCTCAAGGTGGTTGACGCATTTACGTTGTAGATGTTTATGGGCTCTAGTAACCACTTAACACCAGGTGGGCTGTGAGCTCGTCCACTCATCTAAGCTATTAAAAAAAAATTAAAATTAGGAAAAAATATACATAACAAAAAACTTCTTCAGCTATTTGAATGGGATAAACTTAATTGAAGATCAATTAAAACATCCAATTATTTATGCTAATCTATCTATGTATATGTATATATAAACATGAATTGCTGTTCGTTAGTCTCGCTAAAACTCGAGAACGGCTGGACAGACTTGGCTAATTTTGGTCTTAAATTCCACAAATAAGTCCAGAGAAGGTTTAAAAGGTAGATAAATATGAAAATGCCCGGAATTATATAAAAACAAACAATTTTGTTTTCCCTTTGATGTGTCCCCCGTCGGACGGATTCCTTTTGTTTGTTTTAAGTTTATTTTATACAAAAGTTTAGGTGTTTTATTTAGCGATGGAGGCACTACGAAGTCTGC